GGGTGTGGGGTGGCGTGGATCATCATCTCACTGCAATTCGATCCTACCATACAAAAAAAATTTTCCTTTTTCGACGGCCCTTACGGCCCCTCCCGACCTCACCCTACACCTCCACTATTGCGTTTTCTGATACAACTTTTTGCGTACTTTCCAACCAAAAATACTGCCAACCCCTTGCGACGCGCCGTTCGCACCACAATCGGCGTTCTGAAACACCCTCCCAGAGAGCGAATCCACGCTAAACTTCCACATTCGATGCGCTGTCCTTCCGTCAGAAGCAAAGCAAATGACCCAAACACCACTACATCTTGAACAACTTTTTGCTGACTTTCCAACAAAAATACTGCCAACCCCAAGCAACGCGCCGTTTGCCCACAATCAGCGTTCGAAACACCTCCCAGATAGCAAATTAACGATAAACTTCCACATTCAATGCGTTGAACTTCCGTCAGAAACCAAGCTAAACATGCAAACACCATGCCTTACGATACAACTTTCTGTGTTCTTTCCAACAAAATTACTGCCGACCCCCTGCGACGCACCGTTCACACCGCAATCGGCGTTCAAAACAAACTCCCAGAAAGCAAATTTACGCTTAACTTACACATTCAATGCGTTGTACTTCCTTTAGAAACCAAGCAAATGACCCAAAAAACACTACATCTTGAACTACTTTGTGCGTTCTTTCCAACAAAAACACTGCCAACCCCCTGCGTCGCGCCGTTCGCCCACAATCGCCGTTTGAAACACCGTCCCTGAGAGCAAATTCACGCTTATTTTCCACGTTGTGATTTAAGTCATTTAATGCGCCTGAAAAATAAAATTTAATAAAGATGTAGTGGAATATTGAAAATAATAAAATTCATGATTTTCACCTTGAATCCATTTCTCAATATTCGTCGGTTTGGCCAGCGCGTTCGATTTAAGTCATTTAATGCGCATGAACAATAAAATTTAATAAAGATGTAGTGGAATAATGAAAAAAATAAAATTCATGATTTTCACCTTGAATCCAACTCTTATTATTTCTTCGGTTTGGCCAGCGCGTTCGATTTAAGTCATTTAATGCGCTTAAGTAGGGAGGGAATGAGAGTTCAACCCCATTTGAACATCCGGTCTGACGTCACGTATATGCATAATGTTATACATGGACAAGAGGTCACATGGGCAAGGGTATATGGGCAGCCCAGGCCAGCCATTGGCGGCGGTAAATATAATTTATATTTAATTATTAATATAATTATTGTTAATATTAATTAAATGGTAGGCAATGGCGTCATAAGAATGACGCATTTAATTGATTAAATACTTATTATACAATATATTTGAAAAGCCCCCACCCCCCTCCAACCTACGCATTCGTCAGCCCCGCAAGTTAATAATGTAATTTAAATATTTAAAAAATGGCCCAACCCGGCCCGCGCCAGGCCCAGGACAGCCCCGCGCAATGTAAAATGATACATAATTTATTTATTTATGTCTTTGAAATTCTCGGTTTAAACACTCGTCAGACCACAAAAATCTAGGTCCGTTAACGTTACCAAGTCAAGAATTATTAAATAATTAAATAATTTCCTATCATTAAGTTTTACCTATAAAATTAATAAATTTTTATTTTCATATATACATATATTTTGAGGACACATACATTTATTGCTATTTTATAATATATAATGTAAAAATTAAAGCAATGCGCATATCTTGAGCAGATTTCTTCAGAAAGAGGCTAACCGAATGTATTTGTTTTTTTATTATTCTTCATATTAAAAAAAAGTAGCATTTGGAATAAATGTTATCAAAAATTGACACCATGCATAAAAAAATATACACGAAACAAGATAATGCATTTCAGAACCCAGTCTTTACATTTCTTGAAACTGTTTGCTATAATAATAAAATAGTAAGTAATTCTCTTCACAAAATGCATAATATGAAATTGAATCTATATTTAGTCCATTTAACGATATCTGTATGTAACTAGTTGCAGAGGAATCGTCTTAACTCAACGTTAAAAAACCGAATGTAAGGCTATTTTAAAAGCTGCTGTATGTATATTCGCAAACAGACAACAATATAATTCAACGGTAGCAATAAAATAATATGTGAAGAAAATACTGTTTTGTTTTTTGGGTCAGGCCAAGACAAGCGTCTTATCGGCCTGTGCCCTTATGAGCTTGCAGAAGGCAAGCGCTTATATTTTTTTAATAGGGTAATTTTTATTATTATTGTAACTGTATTATTATAAAGCTGATTTTTCTCTTGAAACAAGGTCGATCTTGCTTTTGTTGGGACAAAGAGGCTTTTGCCGGTCGCGGATGAAAAAGTATAACGAGTCGGTATGGGCAGGGGTGTGGCTGCGCTTTTTCCTTTTTTCATTGCACGGCTGAATGGTGCCTGAGTCAGAAAAGAGCAGACAGACGATAAAAGCGGTGTGCGCGCGGTGCTCGCGGCCACACCATCATGAGACTCGCCGGCGTCCTCTGCTCGCTGCTGCTGCTCGCCGCCGTCCTCCACCCACCAAAGTAAGCACTCTCATTTTTCCTCTTGAAACAAAACTTCAAAAACATTTTCCAATATCCTGCAAAAACTTTTTCGCTCGTTTTGATTGCTGCTCGCGTTCTGCACCGGCTTTGGCTGCAGGTTGGCCAGCTAAAACAAACTTAAACATGAAAAACCAAATTCCTCTGTTAATATTTTTCTCTGAAACGAACCTGCGGGCGTGAGAGATCAGATTTTGGCTGCTTGGCGAGGGCCAGCGGCCCGACCAGGACGGTGCTCAGGATTTGCTGCGGGGGCGCCGGCAGGATGGGCTTGTTGTAGTACGACGGCTGCTGTGGCTGCAGCAACTGCGCCAGGAGGGCGTTGCCCTCGGCCGGCTGCTGCCCTGAGCTCAGGTTCGTCGAGCTCATCGACAACTGCGAACTCATCCGGGGGGTCGAGGCGCCCCCACTCAGCAGCGACGAGCCGCTGTGAGATCGTCTTTTCACCTGCAACACCATTGTCATTGTCAAATGTCCAGATTTATCAATTCACCAAGAAAAAACTGTCAAATCACCAACTGAGGTAGCGTAATCGGCAAAAATGTTCGTAATTGCACGATTAAAATTTATAAATAAGTTAAATGCATGATTTTTAATTTGTACTAAACATGTTTATCAATTTCAGAATCAATGAAAGTAGACTGAAATGATCACAAGTTTTTCTTATAAATCTCAAGCATCTTAAATATTTAAAAAAAAAATTAGGATAACAAAAAAGTTTTAAGTTAAAATATTAATTACTAGAATTAATTTTGCTTCATTAGTTTGTTTGATCAAAATTGATAAAAACTTGTTACAGAGCTTGCTGATAAGCATTTTATGATATTCAGTCTTGCCATTAAGTTAAGCTTTTGCTCATGAACAATTTGAGAACATAGTCGCCAACCTTGTTGACGTTGGGCACAGCAAAGTTGGCCTGCTTTGCGGTTTGTCCTGCCTTGGCCATTTGCAGCTGCTGTGCTGGACGTCCGGCTGGTCTTGCAGTAGGGTCATGGCCTGTCCCTGGGGAGGCTGGCTGGAGAGCAGCTGGTCCTGCGCGGTGAAGTAGAATGGTTCGGAGGGGGCGGCCGAGTGTGGCCGCTGGAAAGTGGCCGAGTCAGAGAAGATTTTGGCCGAGTACTGCAGCGAGAGGTCTGGGAAGGAGTCGCCAGGGCCCCCCGCCTGCTGCCCCAGGTTCAGGTCCATGCTGCGCGCCCCCTCCGACCGGAACAGGTTCGTCTCCAGCGCGTTCAGGCTGTTCGGCTCCTCCGGCACTGACGCCAGTTTTGACGAACTCGAGCACAGCAAATCTACGTTCAGAAAAATGTGAAATTTATTTTAATTGAAAGGAGAATAATCACCATGGAGGGACTGCAGGGGTTCCAATGTGTCCATGTAATCCTCAATGTTCGGCTGCAATTGCACTAATCCTGGCTGAATGAACTCGGCTAAGCCTGCTTTGGCTGCAACAAGATTACACTTTGTTAGGTTGGCACCTCTGCATGACAAATTCCTTTCAATCGCAGATAATTTAATTAAATATTGTGCCAAGGGGTACTTTCGTCGTCATTTTCGTACGTAGAAAACGTACACGTAGAAAACGTACACGGAGAGTCGTCAGGGACGTACACCACACTCCTCCGAGTCCCCGGGAGGGGTTCACCGGGGTGTGCGGAGCGCCATCGCCCCGGCGCGGGTAATCGAACCTTCGTCGAAAATGTACACTCCACGCTAACTCGCTCCGACCTCAGTGCACCAAAAGTGCACTGTGCCAAAGTGCACTCTCGTCGTAAATGTACTCGTACAATAGGTACTCGACAAAAACGTACTCGTCAAAAAGGTACTCGTCTAACAATCAACTCCCAAAAAGTCAAAAGTGCACACGTCAAAAATGTACACGCATACTAAACGTATGCAGCCACATGCATTCGTCAAAAAAGTACTCGTTGAAAATGTACATGCATAAAAAATGTATTTATTCGCATGCACTCGTCAAAAATGTACTCGTCAGAAACGTACTTACAAATGAAATGCATATTTTTGCATGCACTCGTAAAAAATGTACTCGTAGTAAACGTACATGCATATGAAATGCATACTATCGCATGCACTCGTCAAAAACGTACTCGTAGAAAATGTACATTCATACAAAATACATTTAATCGCATGCACTCATCAAAAATGAACTCGTCAAAAACGTACATGTATACAAAATGCATAATATCGCATGCACTCGTCAAAAACGTACTCGTAGAAAATGTACATGCATTCAAAATGCATACTATCGCATGCACTCGTCAAAAACGTACTCGTACAAATTGTACATACATTCAAAATGCATACTATCGCATGCACTCGTCAAAAACGAACTCGTAGAAAATGTACAAGCATACAAAATGCATTTTTTCGCATGCACTTGTCAAAAATGTACTCGTCGAAAACGTACATGCACACGAAATGCATGCATTTGCATTCACTCGTCAAAATGTACTCGTCATAAATGTACATGCCTAAAACTTGCAAGCTATCGCATGCACTCGTCAAAAACGTACTCGTCATAAATGTACATGCATTCAAAATGCATACTATCGCATGCACTCGTCAAAAACGTACTCGTAGAAAATGTACATGCATTCAAAATGCATACTATCGCATGCACTCGTCAAAAACGTACTCGTAGAAAATGTACATGCGTTCAAAATGCATACTATCGCATGCACTCGTCAAAAACGTACTCGTAGAAAATGTACATGCATTCAAAATGCATACTATCGCATGCACTCGTCAAAAGCGTACTCGTAGAAAATGTACATGCATTCAAAATGCATACTATCGCATGCACTCGTCAAAAACGTACTCGTAGAAAATGTACATGCATTCAAAATGCATACTATCGCATGCACTCGTCAAAAATGTACTCGTCGAAAACGTACATGCACACGAAATGCATGCATTTGCATTCACTCGTCAAAAATGTACTCGTCAGAAACGTACATGCATACGAAATGCATAAATCCACATAATATATGCTCGTCAAAAATTTACTAGTAGAAAATGAACATGCATACGAAATACATGCACTCGTAGAAATGTACTCGTCGGGGGTGTGTTGTGTTAGTTTCAAAAAAGAAATTTGCATATACCTCACTTAAAAAATAAAACGTTTTTAACTGGATCTTTATTTATATCTGACTGGAAAAATTTTATGAATTATTTTATAGGTGTATAGTAAATATTCGAAAATAAATTGATACATCATTGTATGTGATTCGTGATTCTATTATAAGATACACGCATAATTAACAACCATATAGTTATTAAAAATATAAATTCTCATTTCAAAATACTTTAATCCACCAATTTTCAAGAAAACACCATGTGTCCTATTTTTTTTTTTTCTTTTTTGTATAACAAAAAAGTGTCTCGTTTTGACATTCTGTTATTGTTTAATTCGCACTGCTTGTTCGCAATCGATTAATATAGAAAATATTATCCTTCTGGCGCGTGAAATAATAATATTATTGAACTAATTTTAAGTAAATACATTTTAACCATAAGTAAAATTGTCTCAATCAGATGAAAACGATATTGTTTTCTAAAAAACACTTTTTGTTTTGTTTAAAACAAAGGGTTTAAAAAGTACCTCGTGATCAATATATTCATTAAAATTCCAATTTTCTCTGTAGCGTCATAAAAACAGTTAAGAAACGACATTATTTTGATGAAGTATATGTATAATCGTGTATAATGTCAAAACAATGCTTGGAAGTTGTACAACTGCATTGTCGCACAAAGAAAATAATTTTTATTTTTGGTTTATAATCTACTCTCAATGATTTATTCAATTGATGAAAAAAAAATTAGCTCAAATATTTTCTTGTATGTTTATTTACTTATTTATTTAATCTCAATTTGATACACGCAGTCATTGTTTTTTAAGAAACACCACATGTTTTGTAAAAAACAAAGTTTTTTAAGGGAAACACGACATTTATTTAATGAGCAAGAAGCTTGCATAGTCATAATTAAATATTTCAACGCTGTTTTTTAAGAAACACTGAATGTTTCGTAAAAAACAAGCGTCGTTAAATAATCTCGCCTTATTAATTCAATAATTTTCTAAATAGCACTGCAGAGTCTAATCGAATGCATAAACACCTAATGTTAAAGAAATTTAAATTCAGTTCTTGATATTTGTTTGACATTTATTCTGCTGTTACTAATTTTGAAAATTGACTGCAAATTATATTAAGCACTACTTCAAAACAGCCAAAATCCATAAATTTAAGAATTTCGCAGTTGGTTTTCCGTGGATTAAAAAATAGGTTTTTTAAGACTTTCGTAAAGAAACAAACTTTAAAATCATCTAAAAGGTTGAATATACAGTTTTGAAACCAACCTTTTCTTATATTTATTGATTTTCAATGCGATACAAAACCATTGTTTATTAAGAAACACCACATGTTTTGTAAAAAACAACGTTTTTCAAGGGAAACATGACAATTATTTAATGAGCTAGAAGCTTGCAAAGTCATAATTAAATATTTCATCGCTGTTTTTTAAGAAACACTGAATGTTTTTTAAAAAACAAGTTTCGTTAAATAATCTCGACTTATTAATTCAACAATTTTCTAAATGGCACTGCAGAATCTAATCGAATACATAAACACCTAACGTTAAAGAAATTTAAATTCAGTTCTTGATATTTGTTTGACTTTTATTCTGCTGTTAATAATATTGAAAATTGACTGCAAATTAAATTAAGCACTAATTATGCTACTTCAAAGCAGCAAAAATCCATAAATTTAAGAATTTCATAGCAAGTTGGCTTACCGTTGATTTAAAAATAGGTTTTTAAAGACTTTCGTAAAGAAACAAACTTTAAAATCATCTAAAAGGTTGAATATACAGTTTTGAAACCAACCTTTTCTTATATTTATTGATTTCCAATGCGATACAAAACCATTGTTTATTAAGAAACACCACATGTTTTGTAAAAAACAACGTTTTTCAAGGGAAACATGACAATTATTTAATGAGCTAGAAGCTTGCAAAGTCATAATTAAATATTTCAACGCTGTTTTTTAAAAAAAACTGAATGTTTTTTAAAAAACAAGTTTCGTTAAATAATCTCGACTTATTAATTCAACAATTTTCTAAATGGCACTACAGAGTCTAATCGAATACATAAACACCTAACGTTAAAGAAATTTAAATTCAGTTCTTGATATTTGTTTGACTTTTATTCTGCTGTTAATAATATAAAAAATTGACTGCAAATTAAATTAAGCACTAATTATGCTACTTCAAAGCAGCCAAAATCCATAAATTTAAGAATTTCGTAGCAAGTTGGTATTCCGTTGATTTAAAAATAGGTTTTTTAAGACTTTCTTAAAGAAACAAACTTTAAAATCATCTAAAAGATTGAATATACAGTTTTGAAACCAACTTTTTCTTATATTTATTGATTTTCAATGCGATACAAAACCATTGTTTATTAAGAAACACCACATGTTTTGTAAATAACAACGTTTTTCAAGGGAAACATGACATTTATTTAATGAGCTAGAAGCTTGCAAAGTCATAATTAAATATTTCAACGCTGTTTTTTAAGAAACACTGAATGTTTTTTAAAAAACAAGTTTCGTTAAATAATCTCGACTTATTAATTCAACAATTTTCTAAATGGCACTACAGAGTCTAATCGAATACATAAACACCTAACGTTAAAGAAATTTAAATTCAGTTCTTGATATTTGTTTGACTTTTATTCTGCTGTTAATAATATAAAAAATTGACTGCAAATTAAATTAAGCACTAATTATGCTACTTCAAAGCAGCCAAAATCCATAAATTTAAGAATTTCGTAGCAAGTTGGTATTCCGTTGATTTAAAAATAGGTTTTTTAAGACTTTCGTAAAGAAACAAACTTTAAAATCATCTAAAAGATTGAATATACAGTTTTGAAACCAACTTTTTCTTATATTTATTGATTTTCAATGCGATACAAAACCATTGTTTATTAAGAAACACCACATGTTTTGTAAAAAACAACGTTTTTCAAGGGAAACATGACAATTATTTGATGAGCTAGAAGCTTGCAAAGTCATAATTAAATATTTCAACGCTGTTTTTTAAGAAAAACTGAATGTTTTTTAAAAAACAAGTTTCGTTAAATAATCTCGACTTATTAATTCAACAATTTTCTAAATGGCACTTCAGAGTCTAATCGAATACATAAACACCTAACGTTAAAGAAATTTAAATTCAGTTCTTGATATTTGTTTGACTTTTATTCTGCTGTTAATAATATAAAAAATTGACTGCAAATTAAATTAAGCACTAATTATGCTACTTCAAAGCAGCCAAAATCCATAAATTTAAGAATTTCGTAGCAAGTTGGTTTTCCGTTCATTTAAAAATAGGTTTTTTAAGACTTTCGTAAAGAAACAAACTTTAAAAT